CTAGTGATGTGCATCTTCACCACGTCTGTGGGCCTGTGTCTGAAAAGACCTGAAACAGTAACGCCATGCTCTTGGCTCTGCGCTAGTTCTTGGAAACTCCACTTTCATCATCTGCTTGCTTACTCGTGTGGATGAAGAAGAGTCTGTACACTAACACCTGAGTTTGGACATTGCCCCTGCTCTCCTCCTGGACACAGTCAACGATATTTCCAGCATTCTGTACTAATAACCCTGTCCTCTGTGAGCCCCAGCACGAGTGTCCGAGGCCCATTCCTTCCCTTTCCAATGCAGACAGCAACCCCTCCCTTGTCCACTCCTGGTCTTGAAGGTGACACTCTGAAGTCTGCACCACTGGTGTCCCTGTGCCCTCACTTTTCCTACAACCACTCTGTTAAGCTAAGGAGGAATCATCTCATCCAGAGTTTGCTAAGAACTGCATGTTGAATTGTGTCAAAGAATTTTTACAACTTCTGATGTCACACTCATCAAATACTGTCACTGCATGCCCAGGAAGAGTCATACCCTGTCCCTCAAGCCTGTTAGCACTGGGCGCTGGTGACCACCTGATGTTCCTGGGTGAACCAGGCCTGCACTCCTGCATTTCACATCTCCCAGAGCAGACAATCCCTTTACTTTGCTGGACTCATTGGGCTAACATTAGCAGAGGAGCTTGAACTTCACACTGGAGATATAAGCCTCTTGCTGACCTTGTATGCTTTAGCGTGGATCATGTACTACCTACATAAAATGAGCTAGGGAGTGTACTTCCTTCTTCAGCGTTCTAGAATGTCTATTAACATGGGATAATATTTGGTATGATTTGTTGCAGAGCCACTGGGCTAAGATAAGGCTCTATAAGATTATTACTATGATTCTACTTCTTTAGAAGATTAGAAGACTGTTCCACTCCCTAGTTTTTCTTGTGTAAGTTTGACATGATCTTCTAGTAATTGATTACTAAGAAAAGGTACCTGGTTGCCTTGTATAAATTAATGGCCCATCCTTACACCATGACATTTCCAGTGAACTCAGTGGGATTCCCTGGTGTCCACATACACCCACAAAACTTTAATGCAGATGCAACTGCAGAGCACTGTGCCCATGGTCCTCTCTCTGTGACATTAGGCTCTTTCGACAAAGGAAATGAAGCTGCTCCCGGCTTTCCTGCCAACCAGCCAGGGGGAGCAGACAAACGGCTTATTAGGGGGATGCTGTGTGTTCACGCTCTACCCCTCAGCAGCTAAGAGTGTAGAAAATAAATTTTAATGAAGCATGCAGATGTGACTTCATTGGTTTATTCCTTTTCATTTCTGAATTTATAAACCAAGCCATGGAGGGAATGTAGACACTGACTGCTCCAACATGAGACAAAATGAAAATAGGTCTTGTTAAAAGAGAATTTCTGGCCTCCCAGCTTTCCAGCAAATGCACCACCCTGCCCTTCATGTTGCACAGACAGTATAACAAAATTAGGGTCCGTGTGTTTCCCCCATGAACTTGCTCAGAGAGCTTTCAGGTCCATGAGGACAGAGGGAAGAGTGTCCCAGAGAACTGAAAGGGCAATGATCCCAATGGACTCAGGTCTCTGGACCACCTGAACGTGAGCAGCAGGTAAAGCCACAGCCTGTAGTGCATAGTTTCCCAGGTGCTGAGAAACGCCCCTCAGCATTAGACCTGGGAGGGCAAGTCTGGTGCAGAAGCCTAGCTGTCCACATGGATTGGCCATCGGTACTCACACTAGGATTGAAGACCACAGGTGAGCACGAGGGATGTGGAGACATGGAGTTTGAGGGCAGGATCACCCAGGAACATCCACTGTATCAGTCTCATCCTCACACACCAGCAAACTCAGAACTCACCTGTGAGGTCCAGGCAGAAGGAGACCTTCTGGCCCCCGGCCTCGCAGCTGTACTCCCCGGCGTCCACCTTGCCCGCCTGCTGCACCACCAGTTGCCACCTGCAGCCAGAGGACTCCACGCACATCTGGGAGCTCTGCTGCCCCTTGGCAAATACAGCCTTGGGCACTGGGACAGAGGGGAAGAACACACAGGTCAGGGACACCAGAACAGACCCAGCCCTGTCTCACAGCCCAAGCCCACCCCAGGGATGGCCAAGCAGAGTGTCTATCATGAGCAGAACATTGCATGGCCATGCCTAAGTTCTATCCTACACATGACCCAAGCTGCAAACTCCAAGGCTGGTGGGTGGACAGCTGGGCAGCCTGTCCTCATCAGAGCCCTAAGCATTTCCTGATCCACTCTGATCCTGCAGGTAACTGCACTGTCACAGCCCACAAGGCCACCACAGCCAGGCCTACCTCCTTATGCCAATACCCTCCTAGACATTGGGAATAGATCATGACCCTTCTCCTCCTTGGGACCCCAGCCCATCAGTGGCTTCCCAGCTCTACCACTACACAGGGGGCACAAAAGCAAGGGGAGGCAGACACAGCAGCCCCCAGCCTTACAGCTGTACCCTGGCGTCCGCCTTGCCTGCAACAAACCAGAAACCCACATCTTTGTTTACCACAGCTACCAAAGGAGTGCAGGAGACCAGACTGCCAGTGCTGGCCAATCAGCAGAGACCTCAGAGCCTGTGCAAGCTAATCAGCAGAGAGTCAAGTGCCAGCCAATCAGCCCAGAGCTCAGTAACAGTGTGGGCCAGTCAGCAGACAACTCAGTACCAGATGGGGCAAATTAGCACAGAGCTCAATGCCAGCCAATCAGCAGACAGCCAAGTGCCACTGTGGACCAATCAGCAGACAACCAAGTGCCAGTGTGAACAAATCTGCAGACAGCCAAGTGTCAGTGTGTACCAATCATAAGAGAACTGTCATTCTGAACCAATCAGAAAAAAAAACAGCACTAGGCAAGTCACTGGGAGAGTGTCCAGCACCAGGTGGGCAATCGGGAGAGAGGCTCTGAGCCCCATGTGGCCCCTACCCAGGCTCAGGGACAGGTTACAGTGGGGAAGAGAAGGAGATGGGGGAAGGACAGATGGACATGCAGGATTCCAAAGGGCCCAAGCAAGGGCTTCTG